TGTTCTTTTCAAATTAACCCAAACTTACATTTAATTGGATTGAGCAAATAGTACGCATATTTGGCATTCTGGAAGGTCTTTTCCTGGGCAACTGAAGGGATCTCTGACCCAAGCAAATTAATCCTCAATGAAATAACGGCCGAATTGTTGTTTCAGTCCCTCAACATGCACGTGTTAATCAAAGGCGATATAATTATCCCTGTCTCTCGCACACAGTCAGCAAAGTTGGGAAACGTCAACATTTTTATTAATCAGCCGATAACGCTGATCCAGTTTGCCAACGAATGCACTGACTTTGTCTGAAAGGAGCAAGATGTTGGCATCTCTCCCTTGCATCGATGTGGTCAGTGAATTCAACCTGTCGAAAATGTCTACAAGGTATGACAACTGCGCTAACCACAGGGGGTCATCCAGGTACCGCGCAAGGTCAGACTTCACATTAACAAGAAACATCTTCACCTCTGAACGCAATTCGTAGAGGCGATGTAAAACCCGACCTCTGGAGAGCCAACGAACCTCAGTGTGAAAAAGGAGCTGCTCATGTTCGGCTCCCATTTCCTGACAAAGCAAGGAAAACAAGCGTGCATTTAATGGCCGTGCTTTAATGAAATTGACAATTTGCACTGCCTGCTTTAAAACTGTCTCAAGAGACTCAGGCATTTGCATTGATGCAAGAGATTTGCAATGAATCACACAGTGCATAGGCGCCGATCCTGTGGGTGCTCCGGGGCTCGAGCACCCACGTGAATGGCTGAGCACCCATGGGAAAAACTTGAGATATTCTTTATTCACTATCATATTGGCAAAACAGATCTGGCAAACTGTTCAGTTAATATTTGTATTTGCGCTCTGGAGAGCATCATAAGGTTTATTTTTGAAAATGCAAACATGAACATGTTTTTTTCCCCAAGCAGAGCGGGGGTTTTCCATTTATCTATTTATGTACATTCTACTTGAAACGCAATAAAATACATCAAGTACCCAATTAATTCCCTATCTGTTTTTTCTTGAAAACAATTTGCGCCCCCCTTTCGATCTCCCAGGAATCTGAATCACTCTACTGCAGCCACAGTGGTTTTCATGATGGTGAGTGGGGGGAGTGCAGGGGGGTTTCTCCTGAAGTCCAAAATCATCTCCACTGTTTTGAGTGTGTTCAGCTCCAGGTTGTTAAAGAGATAGTTCACCCAAAAATGAAAATTAGCCCATGATTTACCCTCTAGGTGTATGTGCTAGGTGTATATGACTTTCTTCTTTCAGATGAATCCAATGTTTCTGTTGAACAGAAGAGAACAGGTTGCAGGAGGTGTTTGTGTGTGTGTGAAGTGCAGATCAGAGCGGGTGTGGGGTGAGTCTGAGCTTTTCAAACCTGCAGTAAAATGCATTTAGCTCCTCTGCCATTTGTTGACCCTCCACAGATTGGACACACACACACACACACACACTTTGTACATACAAAGATATTTGTTTTGTGCATTAATAGTTAGACATATGCCAAAATATGTATCATACACAAGTATACATATATTGACATAAATTTATCCCATATAAATATAATTGCTCTCGAAGCTGAAAAAGCATTTAATTGAGTTGAGTGGCTGTATCTTTTTGCTTTATTTAAAAAAAATTGGGTTTGGGAATACTTTTATTTCATGGATTCTTCTTTTATATGCTCACCCCCTGGCTAGTGTACACACTAATGACACACGTTCAGAATACTTTAAATTAGGACATGGAACAAACTAAATCTGACTTTCAAAGGTGGTACAATCTTCCCTTATCCTTAATTGGAAGAATTAATATAGTGAAAATGAAAATATATTGCAAATTACATTTGCAAATGTAATTCATCTTACACATCATGTTCAAAATTTGTAATTCATTGCGATATTGAATGAAAATACTTGCAGAAGTCCAATTCTTAAAATTTGTGATACATATAAATTCAGCACCCAAGTATTTTGACAGTACTGATTCTGGAGAGCGTGTCATTACAGGCCTATATTATGTGTGCTTTCAGTAGCTGTGTAATTTGCAAGCAATTCTTAGATTTTCTAAAATAATCTAAAAGATTCTCACCAGTTTTAACTTGAAATCTGGGCTCTGTTGCAACCTTTGCTCTAGACTAAGCAGCTGAGGAAGGTCTTGCAGTGGCAGTAAACCTTCCTCAATATCTAAAGTTTGCACCTGAACCTCCCGCAGTTGCAGAAATCTCAGGATAGTGGTTTGTTAGTCCAACACCATCTTCAATTTGGTCAATACCTCCCTCAGTATGGCTATGTATTTCTGTTTTATACTTTTTTTTATCAGTTATGCTATTCACACAGAAATAAGTCAGTTAAGTTTTTATTATTAATGCTGATAACTTTTATAAGAAAAGCACAATAAAGTATTGGTTAAAAAAACCCCACACAACTTAAATTCCATCCTTAGGCTTATCCCTAACCTATAAAAATGCGAGTAGGAGTGGAAAATACTGTTGTCCCTGCCTGGCTCTAATGATTGGAAAGAACACTATGTTAACCCTCTGGGGTCGACAGTTCCGGCGGCGGAACTTTTTGCAGATTTGAATGTTGACAGCGAAAAGAACTAAAATGCTCCTTCATACTTGATCGTACATATAAGAGTAATACAGCATTTCAATCTGTAAAGGGTCTACTTTTATTTGTGTACACTCACAATATCAACAAAACATTGTGCTTTTGCAAAATAAAGAAAATAAACAGGGTGTGCTTTTAGCCGTCTCACCCTCCGCGTCAAATAAAGACATCCGTGCCACGTTTTGACTTGAAACGTGCAGCGCTCATATTTATTCAATGACATCATTGCCTTTTGAAGTTTAATCCAGCCGTATCGCGACTCTTTTCTTTCCGTCCCCAACTGTACGACCTCTTGAAATGATAATTAAGACATTTCTTATACCGTTTAACGTATTTAAAACTTTTTATGGCCTTAAGTTTGATACAACTCACTTGTGCTGATATCTTATCTCTAATTGTGCTGACAGCTGACTCCTGAATTTTTTGATATTCTTCATATTGTGTGTGGTCAGTTCACAGCAGTAATAGAAATTAATCATTTCCATCAAGTTTTATGGGCATTTTTACCTTTAAGTAATTTTTTCTAAAAGTGTGCACCATCTTTTGAGTCAAATTCTTGCATTTGGGCTGTTACCAAGCAAATTAAATCAGTATCAACAAAATTTATCTTTGCAATGCAGATAAAATACAGAAGCTGCATTAGAAGTGTCATTTAGATGCATTTACACACTGTTTAATGCAGCTCTGAGGGACATTAAATACTTTAACCTGCAATTACAAATGCATAAATAATATTTTGATATTTTAAACATAAAACATTGAAAACTGATGTTTGAAATTATTTTTAAAAAATGAAAAGGTACCTTAAATGTGAAATTAAAACCGCCAGTAGGTGGCTGCAAGTCACTGTTAAACAGTCATTGCGATTGAACCGAATCATTTAAACGGTTGATTCATTCCGGAACGAAACAGCGTCCTGTTGCTCAGAGACGCAAAACATCGCTGTGGCAGTGTTTGAAATTATTTTTGTTGGAGAAATAGAGCAAAAACAGGAAATATGGTGTCTAAAACGTAATTCTCTTAATATTAACTACTTGTTTATTGAACTGTTGTATAAAATCAATATCACATTTGTAATCATGCTTACTTTTGGAGAAAAAAAAAACATATGAAATGATATAAATATTTACATTTTCTGCCCCATATCTTAAATTATGTGATAATTCTAAATGCATTTTAATAGACTGATTCATGCAGTGAAAGAACGCACTGTAAATGCATATGCGCACTAGTCTAACCTGCTAGACTTCATCACCTAATGTATGCGTACACTCTGTAGGTCTGTTTTGTGTTTGCTTTTCGCGATATACTCATAATATCAAATTGCACATCATTGAAACAACAATTACGATATTATCGCAGACCATATATCGCACACCTATGTTTAGATTTTTATAATGCATTGTCTTCTTATCGATCCACCAATTCACATTAAAAAGCTCTGCGTGTTTGCAGGGTAAAAACATGGGTCGATTTTCGCATTGGTCTGAACTCTGAACAAAACAACAGTTTTATAGAAAATATTCATTCATTCTCTACAGGCAGGTGGAGCGTTTGTTAGAAATATAACTGTTTCCCCGGTAACGGCAGAACACAAAGCAGCGCAGCACCGGACTTTAAACCTGCAGCTCATGTTTATTCAATGAAATCATAACGTTAGCCTTTTGAAGTTTAATCGTCACATTCAGCCATATCGCAATTCTGGTCTTTCTGTCCCCAAATTTAAGACTTTCTTGTACAATTTAAGACTTTTTAAGGCCTTAATTTGTCCCTAAAATTTGTCAACTTTAAGACCTCTTGAAATCATAATTAAGACTTTCTTGTACAATTTAAGACTTTTTAAGGCCTTAAATTTGATACAACTAAATTTAAGACTTTTTAAGACTCCTGTTTAAGAAACCCTGTTGATGTTAAAAGTGATACTGATACTTTCTGCTCCACTCTTATGTCTTGTTTAGACAGTTTCTGCCCCTTGTCTTCCAGGCCAGCTCGTACCACCTCTTCTGCCCCTTGGCTATCTGATGTTCAACGTGAATATCGTTCTAAGCTCAGAGCTGCAGAAAGAGTATGGCACAAATTACAAAATACTACTGACCTTGATGTATATCGATCACCCCTCTCTCCATTCTCTGCTAATGTCTCCACTGCAAAAAGGACATACTATCACAACAAAATAAAAAATTCGCCTAACTCCCGCATGCTCTTTAAAACATTTTCCTCCCCCCTTTGTCCTCCTCCTCCCCCTCCTTCATCAACTCTAACAGCTGACGACTTTGCCACATTCTTCATTACATCATTGGACAACATTTAAATATCTCTCTGAGTTCCTCTGACATTTAAATTTTCTGTGCACTTTTGTGATTTTAGACAGCAACATGTATAGGAGACTTTTATTTTGGTCTGGTGATGTGACGTCATAAGGCTGCGCCGCTGTGTCTGTTGTGATTCGGCTGAAGAGAGGTTTGTGTTTTTACGTATTTAAAGTGTTTAAATCAATGCATCCAGGGGGCTGTTTCATAAAACAAGTTTACCAAATAACCCAGGCTTATTTCAGTTAGTCTGACTTATTTTCACTTGATTTGGTTCTATAAATAGGGTTGCCAACTTCAGAAAATGAAAATAAGGGACAACTGTGATTCTTTATAGGAAAATAAGGGACGCTCAAAATATTTGTTCTGTACCACATAGAGTATGTCATTTCCGTGTCTACAGTTAAGTATGTGTATAAAAGGTTCTCAGAAATAATCACATTTGTTTTGCTTAACCTATGTACAATTATTCTAAAAATAAAGTTTAATGGCATACAAAAAATGTCACGTATGTAATACACAGCATTGGCCTGAGTAAATTTTACCACTATAGAATTGTGATTGCACAAGTGGTGTAGTAAATTAGGAGGTGAATATACTGTGAAATTACATACAATATGGCATACAATTTGAAAGTATAACAACTGGATGTCTATGAAACTTCAATCAATAAAGCATTTTTTTTTAAACTAAAATGTTATTGCAACCATGTAGCCTAATTCATGAAAATGAATATTTTTCAATTAAAGAGAACTTGGGAGTGTGTGGGCTGATTTTGGTGCTTGAATTTGTTCGTCAATATTAATGAGGTCCAGGTTTAGGAATATGCTAGAAGTTACAATTTAAAAAATGTGTAATTTTGTTTCTCTATTTAACAACATTAACTTACAATACTGAAAGACGTCTTCCCTCAGGTAGATTGCATGTTTTCTTGCCTAGCTGGATGTTGTGCTTATGATCAATAATCACGTTCTTTGCATTCACCCAAACTGATTTGGCGAAATCAAAATGCGGATGGTGAAGGCAATTGCCTTTAGTGAGAGCCCCGCTCGCTGTGAAGTGGGAGCGACTAGGCGGCAGAGGATTCCGCTTGGTCTTAAAGCCTTCCTCGAGTGGCTACGTTCGCAATTCAAACAATGCTTTGGAAAAATAATAATTTATTTGTTATTTGTATGGTCTCTGGGTTTTAAAGCAGGTTTGATTTTTCTTTCTTCCTTATCACTCTGTATTTACAGCAGTTTCAGTGTCCACTCGGTTCAAATGTGTATGAATGGCTACACGTAGATGTGTGCACTGTCTGCCAGAGCTGTGTGAGATCACTACCATGCTGTTTTTGTGGGGGTGGGGGAGGGGTGTTAAATAAATTGTATTGTTTTTTTGTCAACTCACTTGTTTCATTTCTATAGGTTTTTAACATTCTAAAAGCTCTTTATTCCAAAGATAAAATAAGGGACAGAATAAGGGACGCTCAAAATATTTGTTCTGTACCACATAGAGTATGTCATTTCCGTGTCTACAGTTAAGTATGTGTATAAAAGGTTCTCAGAAATAATCACATTTGTTTTGCTTAACCTATGTACAATTATTCTAAAAATAAAGTTTAATGGCATACAAAAAATGTCACGTATGTAATACACAGCATTGGCCTGAGTAAATTTTACCACTATAGAATTGTGATTGCACAAGTGGTGTAGTAAATTAGGAGGTGAATATACTGTGAAATTACATACAATATGGCATAAAATTTGAAAGTATAACAACTGGATGTCTATGAAACTTCAATCAATAAAGCATTTTTTTTTAAACTAAAATGTTATTGCAACCATGTAGCCTAATTCATGAAAATGAATATTTTTCAATTAAAGAGAGCTTGGAGTGTGTGGGCTGCTTTTGGTGCTTGAATTTGTTCTTCAGTATTAATAAGGTCCAGGTTTAGGAATATGCTAGAAGTTACAATTTAAAAAATGTGTAATTTTGTTTCTCTATTTAACAACATTAACTTACAATACTGAAAGACGTCTTCCCTCAGGTAGATTGCATGTTTTCTTGCCTAGCTGGATGTTGTGCTTATGATCAATAATCACGTTCTTTGCATTCACCCAAACTGATTTGGCGAAATCAGAATGCGGATGGTGAAGGGGATTGCCGTTAGCGCGAGCCCCGCTCACTGAGAAGCGGGAGCGACCAGGTGGCAGAGGATTCTGCAAGGTCTTAAAGCCTTCCTTGAGTGGCAACGTTCGCAATTCAAACAAATGATTTGTGCAAAAAGAATGATTAATTTGTTATTTGTATGGTCGATGGTCATACAGCATTTGCCTGCGAATATGGGACAAACGGCGTTCCGTAGCTTTGATATGGAACGCTTCTCTGATGCCTTAAATACGGGACAATTACGTATTATACGGAACAGTTGGCAACCCTATTCATAAAGCAAATTTACCATAGCTCAAGCTCAGTCACTCTGGCAACTTATGCTTGGAAACTAACCTGGTCCGGGGCAGGCTAACGGTCAGGTTAAGCTGAGCTCCTCTAACATTGACCAGTAGGAACGCAATGATATCACCGCTGACTCTCTCACATACAATTATTTGACTTTATTACCAGTCCAAAAATAAAAGTATACAGAAAAAGCAACTTAAAATGTAGGCTACAACCAACTGTATTTAATGTATTGTATGCCCAAGATTTAATGACATTTTCTAAGATATATGAAAAGATTTTATCATTTTATCATGAAAACATTTTATCTCATGTGCATTCAGTTGATCAGCAGTTTCTAGCCATGGATATTAGTAGAACATTAAAACATTGCAATATAAAATTGCTCTTTAAAGCATTAAAACACTAAATTAAAAGTTAAAATCACTAAATTAAAAATGAAAATAAATAATAGAAAACAGACTATATTAAACTGCTAAGAGGAATACACATTAACTCATGTGAGCTAGTATTAGCTAGCTTACATTTGATTTAGTTACTGCTATCATAAAAATACACTTATATGTAGAATTTAAACTGTACACGTGTCACATTTAATGTCTAACAACAAATATTTTAGCGGAATGTATATTTTATTAAGAATTATTGTGCTATTATTCTATTCTGCTCCGTCTGTGTAGCGCGCAGCAGCGCTCGTTCACTCACGTAAGCCTCGCCCACTCCTGACAGCAAAATGGATATATTTGCATGACTTTCTAACATTTACAGATGAAAAATATACCTGTGATGTGTCAGTTATGCACTGAGGAAAACACAATGTCTCTGCACGGAGGAAAACACAATGTCTCAAATGCATTAAACAGCACAAATATTCGCTGTTTGCCATGGTGGATCGATTTGATCCATGATCGACATTAAGATCTGCTTAAGAATAAGCGTGCACATCAAATTATCCTGACTCGTTGAACCTGGATTGAATTAGTGAGATTGCGTGAATTTAAATTGTCGATTATGAAACCACTTTAGTCCCGATTGATTTGTTAGGTTATTTCAAGTCAGGTTTTGGACTTTAATCCCCGCTTTTCTTAGCGTCTTTTATGAAACAGCCCCCAGTTCAGATCATTTAATAGTTTTTACAAGCAATGTAAAATTGCTTGATTATTGTCGAATGAAACATTGTAATACTTTATGTAACATTAATAAATGTTATTTTTATGAGTTAAGCGTATCCGCAGATGAAAAGGTACGTCTCATTTCGCTCCCTATCAGTTTATCGTAAAGACTAATTCGGTCACTAGCCGGGTTTCCATCCAAAGTTGCAAATTTAACATAAAAATTGGAATATCGCATAAAACATTTAACTGATTCTTGAGAAGTTAGACAAAACAGGAATTTAATAGTTTTTACAAGCGATGTAATTGATTATTGTCGAATGAAACATTGTAATACTTTATGTAACATTAATAAATGTTATTTTTATGAGTTAAGCGTATCCGCAGATGAAAAGGTACGTCTCATTTCGCTCCCTATCAGTTTATCGTAAAGACTAATTCGGTCACTAGCCGGGTTTCCATCCAAAGTTGCAAATTTAACATAAAAATTGGAATATCGCATAAAACATTTAACTGATTCTTGAGAAGTTAGACAAAACAGGGTGCAATATTGAAAAAATAAAACCTTATACTCAGACAAATTAAACTACATTTATGTGTCTTACATCTACTGAGCTATGCTTTGATACAACCTCCCAATTTTTTTTCTTTTTTTATCAAAATGTGCTTTTTACCTTGCCATCACTAACATTGTGTCAACACCATCAGACACCAAAAACAAATTAATTTTCACTCACATTATGCAAGACCTATAAGAAGTATAGTAAACACTAGTTTTTACCAAGGCAGACAGAGACCACAAAAAAGTACTTTCAATATGTATATATTTATTATAAAGATTTCCGTCTGTGTTTCTTGAATTGGACTGTGTAATATAACTTTAACTTTATCTTTAACAGCAATCAAGATGTTTTTTAACATTTCCAAACACATTCCCATGTTAGCAGACAGATTACATTATCACATATGACCAACAATTCCTCAACAAATATATAATATCATAATGAAATATCCTCAAAATATTGATTTGACGGAGGTGACATAGACCTGACAGAGTTGACACATCTGATGGTGGTGACAAAAACTTGAATTTGTAGTCATTTTAACTATCAAATACATTGAATCAATCAATTACTATATTAAAACAAACAGTGAGTATGTTATTGTTATTGTATGTTTATTGTTATGTTATTCTTCGCTCTCTTGATTCTCGCTGGCTATGCTTCCATTTCTTTCTCTGTTTCCTCTGTTCTCTCTTACTAAAGTCCTTGATTTGCTTTATTTTTCCTCCCTCAACTCTCTGTTTCCACCTTTGTCTCTCCTGTCTTAGAAATTCCTCCTTTAATTCTGGCTGTGCACTGATTTTCTCTCCTCGCTTTTTCTGATATTCTCTGTTCCTTCGTCTACGCTCCTCCAATGAGAGATGTTGTCTAGCCATGCTGGACTAAAAACACACAAAAAGAGCACAAGAATATCTTTATCATATTTGCCTATGCAATGTTCCTTATTATGTTCCATAAGCCCTGTGTTCCCTCAGCCTTATGTTCCCTCAACCCTAACTCTGCTAGAAGTGATGACTATCAATCCACATAAACAATATATGCTGTCAGGTCACATATTTAGTATTTAAACATTATTAGAAAGACTAAACAAAATAAAATAAAATATTTTATATTTAATATAATTAAAATTGACTTGAAAACCACAAAAATATGATGATTTCATGTTGAATGTCAACTCCGTCATTGGCTTGTCACCACCGTCAGACAGAAAATCTTATGGTGTTGACATCTGACGGTGTTGACACATTAGGCATTTCTTTCACAAAACAAATGGAGTTCATGTAGTAGCCATTTTGTTTTCCCTGTTGATGCTAGATGCTAATAGAGCATCAGCTCATGAGAAGCAGGTTCTATAAAATGATCTAAAAATTTCAAATAACTTCCTCAGAAATTGGAAGAGGGTGTTGACGCATCATGGTTGTGACACAGGAAATATAAACATTAGGATTTAAAATACTTTAAAATTATTAAACATACCAGAGCCTGTCTGACAGTGATGTACTCTGCAGATGTGGAATGTGGCAAGGGGGTCCTTCGGAAGTGACAGCTGCCCCTGATATTCACTGATTTTATTTCATTTTAATAAATGTCTGACGGTGTTGACAAAAAGTGGGGACACAACTTTTAAATCTTATAAAACACGCATATTGAAAAACAACCTTGCTCTGATATGAGATATTATTAAGTGTTGCTTTTGATAAAACAAGCTTTTTCATCATTAAAAAAAAAAAACATTTTTATCCATTTTATTGCATATGAATGATTGAATTCTCTGTGGATGTAGTGAGAAGACAATACGTGTCATAGATTTTATATAATAATGATAAAATTAAATTAAAGGTAATAATTGTGTTAAATACATTCGATTATTAATCCCTGAACGCTGCTATTAGGTTTAAAATCCCATTTTAAACCTAATAGCAGTTACAATTGCTGGACATCTTTTGTCCCATGTCTCAAGAATCAGTGATTTGCGAACAAGCACCGTTTCCATCCAACGAGTCAAAGAGAACAAAATCGTCACTTCCTGATAAACTGGCACTAAATATGATTAAGAGAAGTAGAAGAAGCCACTGAATATAATAATTTTCATTTATAATAAATTACTTGTGCCTCAGAGCAAGCAGACGAAACACAATGCAGCCATTGCTTTCAGAGATGGACCTCTGCTTCTTGGGAACACAGTCGTGATTCGTGAAAGACTTGTGAAAGTTCTGGAAGGCAATAATACAGAAAGACTCTGACGACAGACTTTGCCCAGGCATTTAGGAATGGCCATTACAACATTTCAGATGCTGTGGAACAAGATCGGTCCGCTGGTTAGTCAGGTTATGCCGTCCCATAGCGCAAAGTCACATTACTTTTTTGATGCACATAGAGGAATTTATTTGCAAAATACGTTTCCATCTCCCATTCGCACAAGTCAAAAACCACCTCAAGTGAGCGTTGAAACGTTTTTTGCGAATTAAGGGATTTATTTTCTAAATTTGGCATTTCCATCACTCGTTTCTGATGCAATACTTCAAAATGTGCATAAAACAATTTTTTTTTGTGTCGCAAAACGATTCAGTGATTCGAAGTGCAAATGCAACAAACACAACAGATGAATAACAATAATAATAAATGTAAAACATAAATGCCTAAATATTAAATGGCTGTGTAATTTGTCTCCTTTTATTGATTTGTAGTTCTAGTTTTGAGTGATTTTTTCCCCCTTAAACAGGACAAAGTGTCCAAACACAGAGAAACTCCTGGTGAAGCAACTGAGATCCACGTGACTCTGTTATAAAGATGGCGTTTATTAAAGAGGAGAGTGAAGATGTGAGGATTGTAGAAATATTCAGCATGAAACAAGAAGATACTGAGGCACAAACAGGTTGGTTTTCATTCTCAAAGCTTATTAAAATGTCTAGCTCTACAGAATTTAATGATATTTTTGAAGAATGTCATATCTGCCGTGCAAAGGCAAAAGGTCGTAACTTCGTTTTGGTCGAAAACGAGTTATTGATATTTTTGGGACATTCAAGACCTCCTTTATCATGTGGATAAGCATCTTGAGTAGGGCTGTGTATCTAGTTTGATACTTTTTAGGCACCGACCGAATTGCCTCGATACTATCGTGTATCGAAACATGTCTTGTCGTTCGGTAACAAATTTCGATACCTAAAGGGGTTAATCTGGATTAACCCCTGAATTAATAAGCCAATGACCATTCATGCACACTGTAGCATCATGCTACATAAGACAATTTATAAAATGTATACTATGCTTTCACTCAAAACTCACTTTAAACCACCATTGAGTGTTTGTAATAACTTCCGATTGCAATCTAATAAGGGTTTTGGTCATGCTTGTCGTTCGGTAACAAATTTCGATACCTAAAGGGGTTAATCTCGTCAATGTTGGTGAGCCAGTAAGCATGCAGCATGCGTGACGTGCCTAAATCATGTGCTGGTGATTGGCTCTGGTGAGCCAATGACCATTCATGCACACTGTAGCATCATGCTACATAAGACAATTTATAAAATGTATACTATGCTTTCACTCAAAACTCACTTTAAACCACCATTGAGTGTTTGTAATAACTTCCGATTGCAATCTAATAAGGGTTTTGGTCATGTAATGTTGCAGAAAGATGTTATTTGTAGTCTTTTATATCAAGCTAATCGCTACACCTGCTTAGCATTTCTCATGTAAACACACTGTATTGTTATAAAAATAGGCAGAATCTCAAGAAAATCACATACAAATCATATACTGTCATAATCGCATGTTTCTTAGCTTCATGTTTCATCCCTGTAAATGTTTTTCTGAAAGTGTAACACACATTCGTCATCGGAGACAGGGCGGGTTATGAATGCGTAATATGATTGACATGAGCAGCGAATGAGCTTCCTCTGAGTCAGAACAGCGATCGCGGAAGAGAAAACACTGACAGACAGCGCTGGAAGCAGCTAATGCTCATCAGATCATGTAAATCAGTGGAAAGTGAATAGAAATGATTCTGTCTAAGCTATAAGTTTTAAAACAAAAATGCACTAGTTTAAATGTAGCCTAGGGACATTAGTTCTGAGGACATCATCAGTGACGAGAGGGCTTGTCTGTCTCCTGAAAAAGTGGACATGCTCATTTTTTTTGAAGAACTGCTGAGTGATTTAAAGATCTTAAGGATGCAGCAGTGATCCTCACATACAGACTCAAAACTACATTTTTCATTTTATTAAAACTATTTGCACTGATTTATTGTGTTGGTTACATTTTGTTCCTATGTGCAGTGGCACAGGAGATGAGTCTGCGTCTGTAAAAACCTCAACATACTGAAAAAAAAAAGGTTTTATGAGGTAATGTATTCTTGTTAAAATGGATTTCATAAAATTGGTATTGAAAAAAGTATAATTCAGGAACCGTTATCGAAGTCAAGGTATCGATATCGAAATTTTTGAACGATACCCAGCCCTAATCTTGAGTAAATTTCATTGTTTTTTTTACCCCTCAAAAATAATGGGTTGTCTTAACCGTAACTTCCAAAAGCCCAGGAGAAACCAAGGCAGAACACCATATAACACCAGTTACCGCTCTTTGACTTTGTTTTGGAAAGCTAAAATTGAGTTACGGTACTCTGCCTTTGTTTAGCCCTGAGTCAATATGAAGTTACTGTGCCGGCCTGGAGTTATACGGTTTTCTGCCTTTGTTTTACTGTCCATTAAAGTCTGCTGAGTTTAAATTACTGTGTAATGTGTCTTGTCACTGAAGCACTTCATTAGACAAACGAATTAGGTAGATCACAATCTGACTGCTCCATATAAGCTCCATAAGACTAGATAACCTGGCAACAATAAGTAATTGTAAATAATTGTTAGTCTTTTTTATAAATGCTGATTATTCACTCAGTGCCAGCCTTTCCACTTCTAGTTACATGCGCGTGAACTCGAATGCTGTGACAGCATAGCATGATCACACATAAAATCTGTAGTAACAGTTCGCAATTAAATCCATATCCTATCTTTTCTTGTAACCTGATAAAATCCATGGCAATGAATGTCATCAGAGATGTTTAATCCACAAGCATTCGGAGCATTATTCCTACTTGCTGGCATTCACATCAATCCACAAGTCGTCCTTTTAGGTTAAGCTTTTTTCATTCAATTTGATGTCTTACATCCTTTTACGTTAGTGAACATTGCAAATAAATTGGATGTAAAATGGTATCCACTCACATGTTTAATTTTTTGTCTGGTTGTTACAGTTAGAAAAACGATTAATACAGTCACATGTCTATATGTTATAGCCTATGAGATAGCCCATGATCACTAGATTTTATGCAGGTGTTACTATAATAATTTTGTAAATGGTGATCAGCAATCAAATATTCATAATGTGGAAGTTACTGCCTTTTGCCTTGGTGTGACTTCTCACTTTTTGCAGACAATGCAAAGGCAGAGTACAGTAACTTCAAAATAGGGGTGAAAATCAAGTTTGAGCTCAAGATTTTTTTTTATGTAGATAATTTTCATTACTAAAACATCTAATCAACACCTAATCTAACACATAATTGCCAGATTTCCAGTGTCTTACCTATAGCCTTAAAGGGGTCATATGATGCTGCTAAAAAGAACATTATTTTGTGTATTTGGTGTAATGAAAGCTGGACAAATAAAAAACTTTTAAATCATTTTTCTCAGTTTCACACTCTAGTGAGTTAAGGTCTTTTGCCTTGTAGGGCAGATATGAGCGTCCTAATTAAAGTGGTGTTATTTGACATGGAGCGGGTTCTCATGTTGAGATCACATTACCACATGACCCCCCCCCCCCCATGTTCTAGGAGAAACGCAGAGGACCTAATACTGAGCCCTGATGTACGCCATACTTGTGTTTGATGAAATGTCTATTTATTTACACAAAGTATTAGCAGTTGGATAGATTTAAGACCTAAACTGAGCTAATGCTTATCGACAAATGACAACATAATTCTCAAGCTATCCAAAACAATGTTGTGATATGTCAAAAGAGCTAATAGCACTAGAAGTAATCATGATACAATGCCAAAAGCATTTAATATATGTAGCGAATCAGCTCAAAGGGGAAATATGAATAATTAATCATAACTAGTTATAATTAATTATAAATATTTAGATCCACTGTAAGTATTTACTTGACCTCTCAGGGTCAACTGTCTGTCAATTCTAAGAACGTTAATTTCCTGGTTAAGATAAATAACTTTCTTACTGTATAAAATCAACATATCAACATCAACACCGACTATATGCGGTGGTTTTGGCTATACTACTTTTTTGTCTCATGCAGCACACTGCCTGTGTCTGAGTAACAAACTATGTACATATTAACAGACGAACTATGTTCATATTTAGAAGCCCAAACAGTCAGTAAGCGACAGGTGCTTGGAAACGCTGTTTTGTACTGGAACTTTATATTACAGTGTTGATGTTCCATTTCTCAAGCATGGTCAGGAAGATCTGCCCAATGTATTCCCCTGTGTGGGACCCAGACATGGCCTTCACATTCAACACAGTTTGCACTCTATTCCAGTTCTTGTCGATGAATTGAGCAGTCAAGCTCATGAGGGCTTCAGTAGAACCAGACCAACAGTCAGTGATAAAAGCAATGCTGTTTCCTGCATTTTCCACAGAGAGAAGTTGCTTTATTTGTGTTACAACTTTTGAGTGAATTTGGTCCATCAGCTGAGTGTGGAAATACTTCTCACTTTTCAAAGGGTACCTGGGCTCTGTCTTGGCCAGTAATCTTTTAAAACCAGAACCCAGATATTACAGATAACTGTACCAGATGAGTCCTTGTTGAAGTAGTCCCACACCTTACTACTTCCACCCTCAGCCATCTGTAAAAAAAAAACAAAATATATATATATATATTTATTTATTATTATTTTTTTTTATATATAAGTATGAGACATTGACAGAATGATATATTTGAGCTGGAACCAAACTGGTTTGGCATGTTCTATTCTATATTATATTCTAAATACTGTAGCTTAATCTTCACTAATGACTTCATCTTTTTATTTAGTAACTTTATATCAAAAATAACTTAATGGGCTCCATTTTAATGGTTAGATTACATTTTTAGTAATCAAAAAGGTAATTCATTGAAATCATGAAACTTATACAATTTAAATAAAGCTTAAGTTAAAACAAGTATAAACAGTGACTAAACATGAACCATTAATACTAACCAGGAGTCACTCTCACTTTACTCCTTAAATCCTGATTTATAATCGCGACATCGTCTGATTAAAATCAACATATCAACATCAACACCGACTATATGCGGTGGTTTTGACTATACTACTTTTTTGTCTCATGCAGCACACTGCCTGCGTCTGAGTAACAAACTATGTACATATTAACAGACGAACTATGTTCATATTTAGAAGCCCAAACAGTCAGTAAGCGACAGGTGCTTGGAAACGCTGTTTTGTACTCATTTATTGACGAGTCTGCTGCGGTACGGCCACTGAATGCGCTGCTTCTCTGCTGCTCGCTGCACAGAATAGACGCCGAGAGAGGAGATACTGCGACAGGAAAACCAGACCTCGCGCTCGCGGGGCAGTACTGGCGAAATCTTTCAACTTAGCTGTAGTTCAAAAAAAGGTTGGGAAAAAGCCGCTAAAAGGTTCTGAAAGTTGCTAAATATAGTGCTAAAGTCACGCTCGTGTGTGTGAGACGCGGGAGCTGATGGCAGGGGGCGGTGGATATTTGTGGCGGTCAATATGGATATGGAAACGTATGGGGTCATTGTTTATTAACTTAACTGTAAGTTATGTATTCACAAACTAGTTAGCAACTTACCGTTAAGACAACGCTTGACTCTTGAGTAGTGAAGACACCGCTTGAATGCCGCTGGCTGAAGAGACTTCCTTACTGAAGTGAAAGGGTTTGCTGGTCGCCAGAAGCAAACAATGGAGCGCGCTCTGCTGGACAAACTAAGTAATTACACCATTTCAAGCATTTTATCTGCGTTATATGTTCTGTAAAAAAATAAATAAAATCATATCGGTGGCACATCGGCAGCATTTTCGCCGATACCGATATATCGGCGACAGGCTCATATCGGCCAATAATATCGGCAAAACGATATATCGGTCGGGCTCTAGTAACAACATACACAATGACCTGAAGGATATGGGTGTTCATTCAAAGAAAGACCCGCATTCCTTTGGGCAATAAAACCAGTGATATCAGCATTGGTTGCCATGGAATCAGAGGCCTGTTCTGCCTTTCTGAGGTGTTAAAGACGCATTTCGGGGGAAGGGTCCATAGGCCCTCATATGGCTTGTTAACTGAGAGGTGTTACAGAGTATTTGTTAAATATAACTAACAAAATATATATTGTGTGTCTGATTGGTCCAGACGCTACATATATATAACTTTAATAAATGATAGTGCTTAAATTCTGACTGAAATTGTTCACAAGTACCATAGCATAGTGAAGAGGACTCTACTTTTCTAATATTTTAAACATGAATGGCAGATTCTGGACTGGTCTAGAACAGTGTTTTTCAATCCTGGTCCTGGGGACACACCGCTCTGCATATTTGGTATGTCTCCCTTATGCTGGGTACACACCACAAGATAATCGTGCTGATTTTGGGCCGATTTCTCCCCTTCCGACAATCCTAGGTAATGTCCCGATTATCTTGGTGGTTCTAAAGATTATCTTATCAGATTTTCCTGTGGTGTGAGGTGTGTTAAGAGTGACTGAATCTGCTCGGAAGAACGTCGGAGGCGCCCCGATCGCGTATCGTAAATATTCAACATGTGGGGGGAACATCGCGGCACACCACACACTATAGGAGCAAAATGGTTAAATCTAGGATTTTTTTGTCCTCATGTTTGTGGTCTCTCACATTTTGAAGATCTTATAAGATTTTTAAAATCTTTTAGTGTGTACCCAGCATTATCTGATGCACCCAGCTGAGTTTGTGGAGCTCTCACCTAATGAGCTGGTAATGTGAATCAGGTGTGGCAAATAAGGAATACATACAAAATGATCAGAGCGGTGGGACCTTAGGACCAGGAGTAAAAACTACTGGTCTATAAAAACCCAGTTTTGTTGCATAATGTTGGTTTTGATGTTTTAATACTTTTATCTTGGTGTTGATGTCTGTTGCTTTGAGTCATTAAACTGCCAATAACTTGTATTTGTCTTTTTTTGCTTTAGACCTGATTGCACTGAAAGAAGAGATTCAAGAACTGGAAAAGATAGAAGAGAAAGATCAATATGAGAGACATGATTTCATGACTATGGAAAAATCCATACAGACTGAAACAACTTCATCACGAAAAAAAGTTCAGAAGACCGACTTTACCTGCCATCAATGTGGAAAGAGTTTCAATCAAAAACATAACCTTAAAAACCACATGAAGACTCACACTGGAGAGAAGCCTTTCACATGCCAAGAGTGTGGAAAGTGTTTCACTCACACAGGAAACCTTAATTCCCACGTGAAAAGTCACACTGGAGAGAAACCTTATACCTGCCAACAGTGTGGAAAGAGTTTTACATATAAAAAAGACCTTAATTCCCACATGAACGGTCACACTGGAGAGAAGCCATTCACATGTGATCAGTGTGGAAAGAGTTTCCGACATAAAGTAACTCTTAATTCCCACACGAAGAGAGAACACTCAGGAGAGAACGGTTTTCAATGTTATCAGTGTGGAGAGAGTTTCAGTTGTAAAGGAAGCCTCAAAACTCATGAGAGACTTCACACTGCAGAGAAGCCTTTTACCTGCAAACAGTGTGGGAAGAGCTTCTCATATAAAACACACCTTGATTCCCACATGGGAAGTCATACTGGAGAGATGCCTTTTACCTGCAAACAGTGTGGGAAGAGCTTCTCATATAAAGCACACCTTGATTCCCACATGAGAAGTCATACTGGAGAGAAGCCTTTTACCTGCAAACTGTGTGGAAATAGCTTCTCACACAAAGGAAATCTTAAGTCGCACATGAGAATTCACACTGGAGAGAAACCATTTCCATGTGATCAGTGTGGGAAAAGTTTCAGACATAAAGCAACCCTTGATTCACACATGAAAAGTCACACTGGAGAGAGTTCTTACACCTGCAAACTGTGTGAAAAGAGCTTCTCATATAAAGCAACCTTTAATGCCCACATGAGAAGTCACACAGGAGAGAGGCCTTTTACCTGCAAACTGTGTGGGAAGAGCTTCTCAATAAAAGGAAATCTTACAGCTCACATGAAAACTCACACAGGAGAGAAGCCATTCATGTGTGCTCAGTGTGGAAAGAGTTTTACACGTGAAAAAACCCTTACTTGCCACATGAGGCTTCACTCAAGAGAGGACAGTTTTAATTGTCTTCAGTGTGGAAAGAGATTCCCAGACAAGAGACACCTTAACTGGCATTTAAAAATTCACTCCAGAGAGACGTCTTTTAAATGCAATGACTGTGGAAAGAGTTTCAGATTTAAAGGAAACCTTAAGACTCACATGAGAATTCACACTGGAGAGAAACCTTTCACCTGCACTCACTGTAGAAAGAGTTTCAGTCAGAACATAACACTTCAGATTCACACGAGGCTTCACACTGGAGAAAAACCTTTCTCGTGTCTTCAGTGTAAGAAGAGTTTCACATATAAAAGAGACCTGAAACGTCATTTGCAAACACATTCTGGAAAACAATTGCACAGCTCTGCGAGTGAAAAGAGAAAAAGGATCGATTTAAAAAATCCACTACGTATTCACTCAGGAGGAAGACAATTTATTTGTGGTCAGTGTAACAAAAAATTTATTTTGCCATCACACTTAAAGATACACCTGAAAAGTCATACAGATGTGAGACCATATTTGTGTTTTTTATGTGGAAAGTGCTTTAAATGGCTCGGCAGTCTAAAATGGCACCAGAAAATATGTATCTGCGTGAAATTAAAGCTACGTTCACACCGTAGCTGAATGTGGCCCAAATCTGATTGTCCACATTCATGACCATTTGCATGCTTCACCTCTGTATAATTTTTACCTTTTTGTCTTTTTATTTTTTGTCTTGTACATGTGAAGTCTTGTGGCTGTACCTGAGCATCTGCTTTGCTATAGATCAGTTGTTCTAACTTTTTTGTCCTTTGTGAATATAAAATTAATCTTTAAAACTTTGCAGATTTTTGTGTTCACAAATTAAAATTAAATGTCATTATTATTATTAAATCAATTGATGCTAATTGTAAAGTTAATCAATTATGAAACTCAATAAAATAGTGTCATTATCCAGCTCAATTCAGTTCAATCTTTTGTTCTTATCTGACGGTGTCAGTGCAGCCTAATTGATCATTTCTGAATATTACCTGTTTTTAAACCACAACTGAGCAGGCCAAAGGTGACAAGGGCAAGGAACACAAACTCAGGTGACAGTAGTGGAGAAAAAACCTTAAGAGAAACCAGGCTCAGTTGGGGGACCAGTTCTCCACTGGCCTAAATGAATAAACACAGTGTGATTTAGGATTCAAGACTGCATCATAAGTCAGACTTTTTGGACCGATATCTAAAATTTGTCATGACAGTTGGAATTTTCCTTGTGTACAGTTTGAATAACCAGGGGTTCATTTAGGTTTGAGCCCAACAGAGCTGAGCTCCTCTCTGAATATCTAAACAGGCATATCCTTCTGGAGCTCAGCTAACTTGTCCTTCAGTGTGAGTATGGAAGTGGATGCTTCAAGGGGGCAGAATTGTAAGAGTTGTTATAGCTCTTTTTTTTTTAAATCTAATTTAAAAGCTGTGGCCACCAAACAGCAGCAGGGTCAGTATATGTGTCCAAATATATAGAAAAGCACATTTTGCTCACCTTGCCCAGTTTCAGTAACAAAATTATTTATTATCTTATATTGTGATATTGTGATCTTGCAAGGCAAAAGATATTTGCCATAATTTGACAATTATTATGGCTCTTGAAGATTGGTGTAAACTGAGTGCTTGCAAATCAGTGTAAAGAAAATGAAGGAGAGAAGAAGGAATTTTAAATGCTAGTCTTAATGAATAATGTGTTGGGGAAAATTAAATGATCAGGCTGTTGAGATTGTACAACGTTTTTTTTTTTTAATATCTGGGAACATATTTGGATACAAGGTTGAGTTTTGATGAGAGTGTGGATTGTTAAGAACACTGTTAAGAAAGCAAATCAATGGCTGTTTCTAATGCAGCAATTGAAGAGTTTTGATGTTAGTCCACTTGTTTAGGAAATTGTATATAAAAGTCATGCTGAGAGTATTATAATGTTTAATATTACAGCTTGGTATGGAAACCTGGGACTGAGGAATAAGAATAAGTTGCACAGCATAGTGATAAGGGTGGAAAAAAATAGGATGCAAGCAAACCCATTTTGATAAACTCTCTTTGATGGCAATACATAGGAGAGCTACAAGGACAATATCTGATTCCACACACCCACTTTACCCTGAATTTGTTACGCTTCTATCTAGAAGAAGGTATAAGGTCCCCAGAGTTTTTTTATTTATTTTATAAACACTCTTTTATACCAGTGTAAAATGTGTATAACTGTGTATGTGTATAACATTTGTGTGTGTGTGTGTTTTATGAGAAGACAAAGGAGAATTTGCATATTGGATAATAAAGTTATCCAAACCACAAACGGGCATAGAATGAATGAATGAATGATGCATTTATATAGCGCTTTATTGTGTATTGTTGTACACCCAAAGCGCTTTACAATCATGTGGGTGGTGTCTCTCCTCAACCACCATCAGTGTGCAGCATCCACTTGGATGATGCGACGGCAGCCACAGGACAACAGGGCCAGTGCGCTCACCACACAGCAGCTACAGGTGAAGAGGAGAGAAAGTAATAGAGCCAATCAAGTGGTTGGGGATTATTAGGAGGCCATGATTGACAAAGGCCAGGGGGGCAATTTGGCCAGGACACCGGGGTTACACCCCTACTCTTTACGAGAAGTGCCATGGGATTTTTAATGACCACAGAGTGTCAGGACCTCAGTTTAACGTCTCATCCAAAAGACGGTGCTTTTTTTTTTGACAGTATAGTGTCCCCATCACTATACTGGGGCATTAGGACCCATGCAGACCATAGGGTGAGCACCCCCTGCTGGCCTCACTAACACCTCTTCCCACAGCAACCTAGTTTTCCCAGGAGGTCTCCCATCATGGTACCGACCAGGCTCAACCCTGCTTAGCTTCAGTGGGCAACCAGTCTTGGGCTGCAGGGTGATATGGCTGTGAGTATAGAGCGTCTAAAGCTATTCTGTCTGGACCAAAATGATAGAAGGTCTGTGTTGCACCAGTTTTAATGATGGCAATGTTCAATGTAAAAAAATTAAATAAATAAATAAAAGCAATATTCACAACACACACTGCATGGCATATTGATGCATATGGGCCTGTGTAGGTGCAGACTGTTCCCATGAGTGCCCATGATGATCCCTGTCCACAGCCAAAAGCCTTTACAATGGGCACTCATACAATGAAACTGGACCTCTGAGCAGTGGAAGAAAGTTGTCTGGTCTGAAGAGTACTGTTTTCTTTTACATCATGTTTACTTGGGGATGTACTGTGTAAGGAATTTTAACTCAGTTGTAAGGGAATTAATTATTATTAATTCATTCAGGTTTTGATAGGACTCGGATCTGAATATTCAAAGTCCACCTGATTAAACCGATTTCAAACCTGTTATGTAAAGTAGTTCATAAAGTCATTACTGCTGTGCTGTTGGGAAATGTCAACACCTGTTGATGCTTTATTTTTCATTAATTTAGCCACTGTAAAACGTGCAGATTCATTTCCTGCATTAAATCATAATATGTACAGATATAGTATGTGAGTTACTATTCTTATAAATGCATTACAAAATAATGCAAAATATGCTGTCCTCGCAACTGTGTCACTCTGAAGAAGCTAGACAGCTAGCTAACAAATGCACATGAAGCAGTTTATTCTTTCCTGAATGTTTACTTCTGTGATTGCTCATTCTATTTCATTCTTTCTGACCGCCAGAGGCAGTGCTTCACTCTGAATGTTATCTTCATCGCAGATGCACAGGTCGAGTCTAATACAAACAAATTCCCTCGTGACCAGGATGACTCGAGGTCCTCCCCTATTTAACCCTGTGACTTCCTGCAGACTGTCCCTATAATCTTCTCGCGTGCATGTATTACAGGTCGGAGAATATTAAAGGAAGACACTTGGAATCCGTTTTTCAGCTTCGTAACAGATCAGCTGTTGGTGTTTCGCGACTGCGCGTCCTCCAGAGGCTGCATCGGATTCAGTTTAATTCATCAGAATACAGTGTGGTGAGTTTGGTACATTGCTCGGGGTTCGTTTTCGTTTTCCCCGGCATTGTTTGGTGGCTAGATAGAGTGTTTTCGCTCTGTGGCGCTGCCGGATAGTATTGTAGTATCTCAGAGCTGTAGGAGACCGTAAAGAGTGGGTGCGCTCTGTTCAGTATCTGTGTGTAGCTATCGATGCTCCGCTGAATGCGTGTAGTAGTTTGCATCCATTCAGGTTATAGGAGTACATTGTATACATTTAACATTAAGGATACATATATATTTATTTACACATAGATTGTTATTCATGTTGTGTGTGTATTAGTGCTGTGTTCAAAATATCGATATGACGATGTATCGTCACAGAGATTTGACGATACGAGTATCGATACAGCTGGCCCTGTATTGATATTGTGGCACGTGTGCAGTGAATTCTCCGAGCCAGGATGGAAAAAGTGTCTCATGCCTGCACATTGTGCATGGCTACTCTGCAGAAGGATGATGGGCACGACTGCTGCCCTACCTGTTTAGGCTTGGAACACCTGAAACAAGGCCTCACAGAGGATGCCTGCATGGTCTGCAGAGTTATGTCTTGGGAGAGGAAGACTTCAAGGATAGCTTTGGTGGAAGGACTCTTGGGTGAGTCGCTACCAACACCACCACCACCACGTAAATCGGCAGCTAAACATAAACATGCTGAAGCAATGTGTGCTTCGGCTGGTAAACGATCTAAGGGAGATCCCTTAGCTAAGAAGGTGGATGTGTTGACTGCTGAGTTTGCTCAGATTAAGTCTTTGCTTCTGAATTTGCAAACGTCTGAGAAACGAGTTTCTTCAGTTGAAGCTCTAACTTTGAAGTCACCCATTTCTGAGGAGGATGTCACGTCTGTGAATGCTTCTCACAGTCAGTTCTATGAGGATGAAGAAAGGGGGGTTACATTACAGATTCAGTCCAAGGTCTCTTATGAAGAATCCCAGGATACTGATCGGGGATCTGTGGAAGATCCGCAATCAGAGCAGGAAGTGGTGAAGCGGGCTCTTCGGGCTGCATTGGCTCGCCTAGGTCTTGATACAGCGACGGCAGCAGTAGCCTCTACTATTGCTTTTTTCAGAGGTTCGGCTCAACCATCTCTTCTTACCATTCCACCATCGAAAGATTTTATTGATGAGTTACAGAAGTGTTGGGCTAACCCAAAATCACTTACGCAACTAGTGCAAGCAGAGCTTTGGCTGCGATGCGAGATGCAGACACTTTTGGCCTGGGTCAGATGCCTAAGGTTGATCCAATTATTGCCTCGTTTGTTCTCTCTCCAGAAGAGGTTTTGAGGCCTAATGTCCGTTGCCCTCGGCCTCAATGTCAGATTACGGATGATCTTCTTATACAAGCATATAACACTGCAGCACGTATGGGTCGCATTGGCAGTTCTCTCTCCCATCTTATGTTGGCATTGTCCCAGTCTCTTCAGTCTTCTGGGAGCGATGCTACAAACCAGGACTTGAGTAATGCTACGTTACAGTCAATAGCATTCGTGACAAGAGAATTGGGTAGGCTTATGTCAACACTCACACAGGCACGCCAACAAGTCTGGCTTGCACAATCACCCCTGTCTGAGGCCTGTAGGAAAACGTTGAGGGATCTTCCGGTAGTCCCCAGACAGCTCTTCGGCCCAGCTGCACAACAGACACTAGAGCGCAGTGTCCAG